TTCGCTCTAAGTCAGGATGGGTCTTTACCCTAAATGGAGGAGCAATTACTTGGAAAAGTTCCAAGCAGGAGACAGTAGCTGATTCTACTTGTGAATCAGAGTACATAGCAGCAAGTGAAGCAGCAAAAGAGGCGATATGGCTAAAGAACTTTATTAGAGACCTTGGAGTTGTACCACCTATAAAAGAGCCAATGGAAATTTTCTGTGACAGTGAAAGTGCGGTTGCTTTAGCTAAGGAACCAAGGGCTCACGGGATATCCAGACACATTGACAGAAAATACCATTTCATTAGACATCGTATAGAAGAAGGACTCCTCGTGGCTAAGAGGGTATCATCATATGAGAATCCAGCAGATCCCCTCACGAAGGGACTGACTAGGGTTAAGCATTTACAGCATGCGAGGCGCATCGGGTTGAAGGATGATATTAGTTTTAATAATTAGATAGTTTGAAACTTGTAAAATGTAAATGACATTTGATGATTAAATAAAAGTTGTTATTTATTTATGAGTAAAGTGTTACTATCTTATGTTAATTGTTTACTATTGTTTCAATTTTGCATGTTTTGACTTCCAGGATAATTATATCATTCAAACTCTCCACAGTCAGTCATACTTTGGAAGTAGGTATTGAATTAAGACTGTCATGAATTGGGTTTGTAGAATGTATAAGGTGTATTAGACATAGCAATGGTTGCTGCAACATTCATGAGTGCTCATAAGTTCTGAGTATTGGACTCAATCCACGCTCACTTGTATCACTTCATGGAATTTATCTCGAGTGATCGTGAGACGGTAATATCATATAAATCTTCAAACCTAGAGATACGAGTTGTTGGCTATGAGTTGGTTATAGATTGTACGAAACCGCATTGGTAACTCGATGTTATAAAACGTGCTTTTGTGCATAATTCAATAAGTAGTCAGTACAAGCATATGAGTCGAAGTTTATTTGTTCCTTCTAGGATTAGAATCGATATCTGGGCCCCTCGATGATTTTGTTTTGACCTATGTACCGGGCCCGGTCAGAACCTAATTTGATGTGTTCAATTTAGTTCTATGTCAAACAGATCAGAGATCGAGAAACAAACGCTGGACAATAAGTAAGACCATGTTCCATGTATTTGTCCTGCCGATATCTTGAGAGCAGAGGATTATATGATCACTTATCTTAAATGGCGTTTCATCATCATCATCTTAGTTCCAAGAGACTTTGAAAGAGCTACGCTTGCTAGTCAGATTCTGAAGCCATATCTGCAACTATAGTTTTTAGACTTATCCAAGTGGGAGACTGTTGGATATAGTGTCTAAGTCCATAACTATAATTGGTATGTACTTGACCCGACCCGACATGGTCCATTTGGGTTGCATGGCATTGCAATACTTGGATAGACCAAAAAGAGATAAAGGACACTTAAGGTTTATTAATAGTATTATAAGTACTAATATATTAATAATAGTATTTATTTAGTATTGATCAAATAATTAATCTTGAACTAATTAAGTGATTAAAGAGAGACTAATTAAATATATGGGGTTGATTGTGTAAATAATCTATTCTTGTATAGTGGGCTAATGATCCATGGTTTGTATGGATTGGGTTAAAACCCATATGGTGCTCCATGGATAGTCCATGGAGGTTTTAAACCCATGGATCATGGAATATGGAAAAGCCATGACAATTAGGGTTTACATGGTGTAACCCTACTTGTGTCACAACTATATAAAGACCCCTTATTCAAGCAAAATCGCACTACTACAAGCAAGTAAGAGGGCTAGCCGATTTTTGAGTATAGTGTAATTCTCTCAAGGTTATTCCATGAATTGTGATGTTGTGTGAAGCATTTGAGGCATCAAATTTGGGGTGCTAGGCTCACAAAGTCATCAAGGAATCCAAGATTCTAAAAGGTATGTTATTCTACTTGAATTTTGTATTACAAGTTCCCCATGACATGCTAGATAGGAAGTAAACCTTGGAAAAAAAATTTTGCATGTATTTAGAGAAAACATAGATCCAAGGTTTCTAGGGTTGCATGTACACCATAGGAGTGTTAGAATGCTCAAAACCCATCAATCTGGATATGTTATGCTAGTATGATCTGTTAGATCGGTATCCTGGTAGATAAGATAGTATTGTGTGTTATGTGATATGATCAGTTAGATCAGTTTGCTTGTCTATAGACTGTTATGTGATTATCCGTTATATGTGCACATGTTTGTTTGGCGGTTGAGGCTTATCTGCTTTGTGCGAAAGCCAATAGACCTGGGTATTCCAACCTGTTGGTTGTGGGCTGTGAGTATTCCATCCCGAGGATGATTGGACTCATAGTGTGTGAGCATTCCAACCTGTTGGTTGTGGTCCTGGGGTATTCCATCCCGAGGATGATTGGACCCATAGTATGTTGGCATTCCAACCGGATGGTTGAGGGCCTGGGGTATTCCAACCCGATGACTGGACCCATAGTATGTTGTTTTATGATTATATGTGTATTATTGTGGGTATGAGTATTTTGGGGGAACTCACTAAGCTCTCGGGCTTACAGTTTCAGTTTATTGTTTCAGGTACATCAGGGGATCGCGACAAGGCAAAGGCGTGATCGTACAGCTCCTCACATTTTATGAATTTGTTTCTGGGATACTCTGATATGGAACTATTTTGAAAACAAATTGTAATAACCTAACAGTTTAAATGTTTGAAAAACTTTTAAATTGGCTGAAGTTTTATGGGTGTTATAGATGTTATAAAACCCTTTTATGTTATGATTTTGTACAATGATTAATTATCTTCCCTTTTATGTCATGTATTTTTCTCTTGATAAAATATGATTGGTAAACTTTTAATTGATTAATTCCACTTAGAAATAAATTACAGGTTATGAATAATACAAACTAACCGCAAAGATACTTGATCCTAAACAAAGTAAATGCCAATATTTATGTGCTTCATGGGTCGATGTTGCATAAGAATTGATTTCAAGTATGCAACACTAAAGTTGTCATAATAAAAAATGGTGTGTTTGGTCCGTAAAAATAACCCTGTTAGGGTTTCTAATGTATTCCTTTGCTATAAATGTTACAACCAATATTGTACAATTACATAAAGGACTCTACACTATATCATGAGAAAAAGACCTAAACTATCCAATAAGTAATAATTTAACACTCCCCCTCAATTAGAGCGGGAGGTTCATAAATGCTTAAATTGTCGTGAAATTCCAAAAATAATTATGTAGGTAATCCTTTAGTAAAAATATCAGCAAACGAGTGAGCAGAAGAAACATGCAGTACGTGTACATGACCAATAGCAACACGTTCCATAACAAAATATAAATCTATTTCAAATGTTTGGTTATTTTGTGATGTATTGGGTTCGAAGTTACGTACATAAAACTAACATTGTCACAAAAATCAATAGTAGTACGAGAAAATGGACATCACAACTCAAGAAGATTGTGAAGTCAGACACCTTCAACAACATTGGCTACCCCATCTACCCAACTTTGACACTAGACCTCGACATGATATGTTGAAAACTTCTCTTATTGGACAATGTGCAACCGTAAGATAAATGAGATATTTATTAATTATCATTTCTCAAAAGGAAAAAATATGAGACATAAAGGGATAAATAAAATGTTTTATTGTAAAAATCAGAACATAAAATGGTTTTATTGTACAAAATTAAAAAATAAAATGATTTTTTTGTACAAAAATAAAATAATGGTTTTTTCATGCATTTTAGGTAACCGGCCTTCAAGGGTTTCCGGTTAAAAAGCATTATTTTAAGAATGATCAATAAATAAAATTGTTGTATGGTATAAATAAATAACATAATAGTTTTAGTTTTTTCAAGCATCGATAATAAGTTGGGTTTTTATAAGATTTTCCTTAAAATTTATTAGAAAAATGAAGAAGATTTCGACACTTGACGTAGGTGGGACGCGTCATCTCACGTCGACCTCTTTTGATTTTTTGTTTTTGTGGTTACTTTTTTGATGAAGCCTTTTTATCTCTACAAGAATTATTTTCCAGTGGGCGTATGAAATTATGAATAATATCGTTATCCCCAGTCATCGTGTCATTTCCCACGTGTAAAAAATTATTTGCATGTAAAAGGATTAAAGTCGATCTTTTCTCAAAAAAAAAAAAAATTATTTTTAAAATTAAACCTTTAAACTATACTATAATACTTTTAAATATTGATTTAAAGATCTATTTCATATATATGATTGAACGTTTGTTTTTAGTGATTATTGTTACTTTTAGTTTATTTTTTAACAACTAAAATACTTTTCTAGATACCCACTGTTATGCTTGATTTCGTTTAATATAAATAAAGAATAGGGTTTGGCGAACGTGAACATTGCCATAATATAAAAAATTAGTAGTATAGTTTTGAAACATCATAAAATTCCAAACTCCTTTTTATATTATACAAAACTACATAAAACATACGTACACTTAATAACAGTAAAATCAATTTAAATATGTAATTATTAAACGTATAGTTCTAATTTACACTATATAACTGACAGATGTGTCATCTACTTATAAATATAAACCGAACATCTGTAGAATATGTTGATAATTATTTTCACCAAAGAGTGAAAAAGACAAGTTATTAACCTATTCATGCTATCATCTTTTGAGGTGGCTTCGTATCAATTACACATATAATTTTTATTTTATTTTATTTATTTATTTATTTCACTTTTCAACATGAGGACAAACTCGTACTGATCCATATATGTTGGTGTTGTTTGTGATTTAACGAGACTGCTATAAACCGGCAGACTTATTTTGATAATTAAAACTCTCATATATTTTTTCAAATATACCCGCCAAATTAAATGCACAAGAAATTACCAAATTAGAATATTTTCATTTGTTACACAATCCGCTTCACCGACCATATTTCCACATCTAAGTAGATACTTATGCGAGTTTTGGCAATAATTAAAAATGAACACGATATAAACTAAACAAATTACATATATGATTATATATCGAAAATCAAATTCATTTATATTGAGAATACTGAAACAATACAAGGGTTACGTTAGCTAAGGAGGACATGATTACACCAAATTAAAGGTGAAAACTTGTAATCAACAAGTGTACAATTATTTATAGAGATCGAAGGCACACTTGACATCAAACCAAAATCAATTAGGATCGATCTCAAGCTGCGACTTCAATGGTGTGATTAGCTATAATTGGACTACGCACCGCGTGTGGATTTTGAGTGTATTCAGGTCGTAGAGCTGCATTTAGCTTCACCATATCGATGGTATTATGATCCTTGATTTCTGGGATTCTTGGTTCATCCATTTCACTCATTTTCTCTTTGAATTCAGAGATTTTATCGTTGATGGCTGGCTTCCTATTCTTGAATACAAAGTAAAGTATAATTTGGATGATACCGAAGGTGAATCCAAGCGTATTTGGTATCTGAACAAGAAATTAATCGTTAGAAAAATTAATTAAGATGAGTTTGAAGTTATTGTGTAAGTACTTTGTTTATTTGTTTTTACCGCGATGTTAAAGTCCCCAAGAAGTAGACCATAAAAGAACCACATAACGGCACTCAGTGTGAGGGCTAGGGACAGAAGAATTGGCATATACTCAACACTCTTGGTCTTGATCACTTGTCGCTACAAAAAGAATTAAATATCATAAATTAATAAAGAGATGTTCATATTTTCTTAAAAACTTATTATTATATATAGTTCTTGTTCTTGTTATCTACTGTTTGTACTTACCAAGACACCTAAAGGTGCGACAAAAACACACAAAGAGAACACAAGACAAATCCATCCGACTATCACACCGCGCTTAGCCCCTTTTGAAAGGAACTCGGTTAGGAGAACAATCAGTCCAAATCCGACAACTATGAACAACATGATAAGCTTCACACTTTCCATCTACACATAAAATCACAATTATACAAATTATAAAATATGATTAACGAAAATCGAGATATGTAAATGTCATTCTAGATAGTCATGTTAACCGATGTTATGCCAATATAAATAAGAATTATAAATCATAATGTTTCCAGAAGTAAGATGATGCTTAGGTTTGAACCCAAGACCTCACTTATGATTCCCATCTTCTTACTTCAGGAATAATGATGGAGGACACCAAAACAATGAACAAATACAATGAAACCAAAAAGTAGCATTTGCATACCCTAGCTTTCTTCGGTGCATAAAAGAGGAAAACACATATATAAAACGTTTGTATGACTATGCCAACGGAGTTAATCGTGATCAGAAGCATGGCATTTCCCTTTAGCAACGCATAGTAAATCCAAAGCATGGCACTAAACAATCCCACAACATAAGGTATCGACTGAAACCCTTCTGTCGATTTCTTCTTATAAACTTTGTAAAAAGTAGGCCTACATATTTAAATACAAAACATCATCAATTTATAAAGTAAGCTAGCACAAAGATAAACTTCGAATAATCACTAGTGAAGACTGATTTAGGAACAAGAAGCTTACATTGGTGAAAGAAACACCATGAATGAAACAATATTTCCTGCAAAATAATATTGAAACAAGTGTAAATTAGGGTTAGAATTTGTTGCGTGCATGCATTTTTTTTCCTGCATATCTCCAATATTGAAGCTAGCAAACCGATATTTAGCATTAGGGTTCGTTATATGCATGGTGCTTACGTAGCATGTATATTTTTTCATGCATGCATTGGATGTTTCAGCATACGATTACGGTGGATGTGTGTGTGTGTGTGTGTGTGTGTGTGTGTGTGAGAGAGAGAGAGAGAGAGAGAGAGAGAGAGAGAGAGAGTACCAAGAAGGCCGAACGTAAGAGTGAGGTGAGGGTATTGTCCTGCAATCACCATATTGACAGATCTTGTTCTCGAAATGATCACTCACTCAGATGAATGAACCAGTTGCAGAGAACGGCTGCCGGTGATTATGTTGTGATTGTTGTCTTGGTGCTTCGGATGAATGGTGCATAAGAAATGGTAGAGCGAGTGGTTTATATAGGAAAACATTATTGGGGGTGGTGGTGTATAATATGCAAGCATAAATTTTCATAAAGTTAATAATTAAATTAAAAAGGGACGCATATGTATCTTTGTTCTTTTTCATAATGTTTCTTTTAGATCGTAGGATGTTAGTGATTAAATCTTTTTTTTAAAATATGCTTATTAAAAATTTGGTAACAATATTGCAATAAGTTTGAATATGAAGGTTTATAAGTTAATGCATCCGCTGTGCTATTTTAAAACGAGGTCCATGGAAATTTAGAGCGGTCCATAAATTTTTTAAGCATAGTGAGTGCTTAGGTGGCTGTTAAATAGGTCAATGTTTTTGGACATCTTCAAAACCTGATGAATTTGACAAATAGAGTCAAGATATACGACAAACTCAATTCAAACTTTTTGTGTTCATATATTACATATTAGGCTTAGGAATGATTACATAATTATAAGAAATAGTACATAGGAATAAATAAATATTAATGATTTAAAAAAATACAAGGTATATCAGCTTTCCTAAATTAGAAACAATTAAAGATAAAAATAAATTAAATAACTAAGAAAAAAATAAGGTGACTTCACTAAAATTACTTATTTATTATATATAAATTACACCTTAGGATTAATTTTTCATTTTATACCCTATCCGTTTTAATATGATAGCTTAATATATCTAACAATACAGTATATATTTATACTTAATGAAAGTAAAATAAATTATACCATTAAAAATATCATCGTTTAAGTTTGGAAAAATATTGAATATTATTAATATTGGAGTTATATTTTATTTTTATAAAAAATGATAAAAACTTTGAAACTCTTTTCTATTTCTTTAATTATGTGAAAATAATGCACGTTGATAGTGGTTGTTTAAGCTTTTAATTTAAAGTTGTTGTATAAATGCTACATTTTACGATTAAATTTTAATTCTTCAACCATTTTTAGTGTGATTATATTTTATTTTTATTTTTATAATTAAAAAAATAGTCGTATTAATAAAAAAAAACATATGTTCAAATATAAATAAATAGTTGAGACTCATTTATAAACCTATAAAAAGTTTACCAATAGTAAGAATATGTTTATAAAATACTGATGTGATAGTGTTTTAGACATCTAAAGTTGTTTAGTATCGGAGACGCTTTTAGACGCCATTAGCGTTTAATAACCTCACTCAATTAACTAAGACGAGTACGTATGGGCAACACCCAGATGCGTTATTCCGACGTGGAACCCAAACAACGCCGTTAACACGGTTTGAACGCCGCCCCTTCTTTGTGTTTTCCAACGTTACGTCGTGGGGTGTTACTGTGGAAACGAGAGGCAACGAAGGGTTTTGGCTTGAATTTGGCATTAAACGGTCATATATAGACCGTTGTTAAACGGTCACAATTTAAAAAAAAATCATTTTAACTCTATTATAAATACACAATTTACTATTAAATTTTACCTACACAATACATCTACTTCTTTCACGTTCACATTTCTCTCAATTTCACTTTCATTTCTTCTTTCCATTTCACATATAATTTCAATAATTCAAAACCAAAAAATGAATCATTTTGATCCGGCTCAGCCGTTCACACTACAAGGAAATGAGCAATTAGCGGCGACAAAAGTCGCCGATAAAGGGTCGAGTAGTCGCCGCTAAATAAAGATTGTGAGGAAGGGCATAACGAAGAAGATGATATCTTCGTGAGTATGATGTACCGGTATTATACGAACAGACTACAATAGCCAGATCCAGCTTCACTACTCACACGACGTGGGACGTTAAATAAAGATCGTGAGGAAGGGCATAAACGTCTAGTTAACGATTATTTTGTGGATAATTGTGTCTACCAGCCAAGAGATTTCAAAAGAAAGTTTCGTTTGCAAAAAAAATATGTTTGAAATGATAGCCAACGCCTTGGAAGAAAGGTACCGTTTCTTTCTAGTTTTTTAATTTATAAATGTCGCTTTTAGATAAAATAAATACAACTTTTAACTGTTAAATATATATTTAGGTATGAATTTTTCCAAATGAGATATGATGCTAGAGGTAAACGAGGATTCACAGAGTTGCAGAAATGTGTTGCTGTAATTAAGCTTGTGACTATGGGGGAGTCGCCTGATTCTGTTGACGATTATATGAAAATGTCTGAGAGAACCGCACGAGAAAGTTTGTATAGATTGGCAAGAGGTGTTGTCGCAACCTTCGGTGACAAATACTTGCGTAAACCTTCGTTACATGATATGCAACAACTATATGTGGTGCATGAAGAAAGACATGGTTTTCCGGGTATGCTTGGAAGCATTGATGGCACATAGTTGAACATGTGGTACGACCTTATGAGTTAGATACTCTATGAGATATCATGTATGCATGTATCATAATGCATAACATGGCGGTCGAAGATAAAGGACGCAATATTGCAGCGTATTCATCTACGGAACCGACACACGTGCAATTTTTACCAGGGACAACGAAATATTTACATAATAACAATTTCAATTAATCAACCTTAACACTCATTTCAATGAATCAATGACTAGCCGACAGTATGCTAGGCGTATACAAGGTACGCACGACGTACTCCCTTTGCATGCGCGTTTTAGGATAACCCCTACGTACGTTGGGCGTACCCATGCGTACGCATGGCGTACTCAAGCTAGAGGCAAACCCTAATTTTTAGGGTTTGCACCCTATTTAAGATCATTAAGTCCCTCAAGTCTATCACCTTATCAGCCTCCTTTTCTTCTTGAGCCATATATCGAAACGCTAATCCATTTTCCCTAAAGTTTGAGCTTGTGTGTGTGTGTGTGTGTGTGTGTTTGGTGTGTGTGGTGCTTAGAGAAGAAGAAGAAGATTTGTGAAGAAGCATTGGACCAGAAAGCACTTGTAGATCTAGAGGTTTCTCATCATTTCTAGCTTATTGGAGGTAAAAAGCTTCTACCTTGATGACTCCATGTGTTAGTTTTTAGTTTAGGGCTTATTTCATCATAAAATGGTCCTTAAGGTATTTTTTGAGAGTATAAGCTATTCCATAAGGTTATAATGTTATATCCTAGTGTTTCTAAAGTCCCTTGAGCATAAAAATGGAGTCTTTATGGATTAAGTTCAATCATGCAAGGATTGAAGGTGGTTTCATGAAGATAATGTGGTTTAATCCAAGATTTTCCCCATTAAGACATGCAAAAGCATAAAGGTGGAAACTTTATGGCTTAATGCACTTCAATAAGCCTAGATCCAAAATTGGACGTTAGGTCTTAACTGATTAAGACCTTGAAAGGAGTTTTCGGCCAGCTGCAGTGGACGTCGGGCGTACCTAGACGTACGTTGTACGTACGCTCATGAAGTCCCGATGATGTGAGGGTTGTGAGTACGTCGTACATATTGATTGGTACGCTGAGTGTAGGGTTGTGCATGGTTCGGTTTGGGTCGGTTTTGGACTCAAACCCAATCCAACCCATAAATGGTCGGTTTCTGGTTTTCAGAACCCAATAGGATCGGTTTCTGGTCGGTTCGGTTTCTCGGGTTCTAAGGTCGATTTGGGGGGTTTTTCGATTTCTTGGGTTCAACCTATACACTCACGGTTTCTTGGTTTAAACCCATCGGTTTTAGGTTTTAAACCATGTTCCATAAATGAAGCAACAAGTTAAATACTTCAAAAAAAACACCAAATTTAAGTTAAAAACTTCAAAAAACATGAGTCTTACAACAAATAGTCTCTTACAAGTTACAACCAAAGCCCAAAATAGTCTATTTCAACCAAAACACAATCAAGTATGGGTCAGTTTCTCGCGTTGGATGGGTCGGTTTCTTGGGGTGGTTTGTCGGTTTTAAGTATGGGTCGGTTTCTCGGGTTGGATGGGTCGGTTTCTGTGTAGAAACCGAAACCGAACATGATTTCTCGGTTTTTAAAAAATTCAAACCCTAACCATCGGTTTTGCTTCAGTTTCTGTTTTTTCGGTTATGGTTTCGTCGGTTTTAGTCGGTTTCTCGGTACCTTGGTTTGGGTTTGCTCACCCCTAGCTGAGCGTACTCATCAAAGTGGGCTTTGGACTTATTTCGGTCCATGTATGGGACTTGGGGACTCTGGGGCCCTTGTTGGGCTGTAAGCTTTTCTATGACAGGCCTTTGGGCTTGGGCCCATTTTGGTCATCGATTATCTTTTGGGCCTCATGACCAGTAGCATTTGGGCCTTGATGGGTTAGGCCTAATAAGGCAAAGAATAAGTAACTTTTTCCCTTAAGGCCAGGATTTAGGGTTTGGACTCACGAGTTGGATTATTAACCTAAATTCTAATTAGGGTTTCTTTACTTGTGATTTAGTGGGGATTTTTCCAGTTCAGCAACCCGATCATGTGTTTGACTGTCAGCAGATTGACGTGAGTTTGCTCACTATACTTTAGGACACTAGGATATTTTATGTGTTTGTAGTCTTTGTGACTCATGATGTAAGTGTTATATGCTTGTGTGCCTGTTTTCTATATGTATGTGGGGTGAAATAGACTCGGTACAGCCTTGTGCTGCTATATGAGTTGAAATAGACTCGGGGGTGAAATAGACCCGGGGGTGAAATAGATCCAGTACGGCTTAGTTCGACGCATGAGTTGAAATAAACTTGGGGGTGAAATAGACCTGGAGGTTAAATAGACCCGACACAGCCTTGAGCTGGCAGATTTGTATGATATGCGGTATTTTGGGGAACTCACTAAGCTTCGTGCTTACGATTTTTAGGTACTTCCGGGTCGAATGGGAAGGGATAGGGATGATCGCATCGCACACACCATGTTGTTGTGCATTTTTCTCATACCCCCGAACCAGGACGGCGGAAACATCTGGGGGCGGATGACGTCATTGTACAGTATCATAACAATTGAATATGAATGAAACTTAGCATTCCAAGCGACATACATTGAAAATACACACTTACATAGTTTACATATTGTACTTGTTCATCAGTTACACAAAA